TCTGCTGCTGCTGCTCCTGCTGCCCCTAGTGCCGTTCTGCCTGCAGCAGGAGCCCTTACATCTGCAGCTGTATCGGGAAAATGCGGAGCGCCAGCGCTCTTCGTAGCAGCAGCAACATTGGCAGCAGCAGCAGCAGCTTCCCCTGGCAACAAAGGGCCCGAGGGAGTGTCCGTTGCAGCAGAACAGCCTCTAGCTGCGGATCCACCCAAAGGCTTGCCCCAGCACATGCCTTGCTGGTGTGAAGCTGCTGCTGTGCAGTCTGCTGCCACTGCCGCTGCTGAATTTTCGCACTCAACTGGTTGCTGCCAGGGGACGTAAGGTGCCAGCACGGCGTAATCTGTCTCTGCGAAGCAGTCGGGCACCTTCTGCTGCGGATACTGCTGCTGCTGCTGCTGCAGGTAGTGGACTTGCATGCAGCTCTGAGCAGCGACACTCAGAGAGTCATCAAGATGTTTGAGTGCCCTAAGGACTAAAGGGAGACAGACAAAATCTAGCACCTGTAGGTGCCTCAGCAGCATCACTGTCTGGAGCACTGACAGCGCCTCTACGCCCTCCTGCTGTTGCAGATGCTGCAGTGGTTGCAAGGGCTCTTCAGGCTGCTGCTGCAGCAGCGCCTGCGTCACTGCCAGCAGCACCTGAGAGTCTCTACGGGGAATGAGCGCCAGAAGCCGCAGCACTTCCAGCAGCTCCCGCGGCCGCATGCGGCCGCTCAGCCGTATAATGTCATCTGCTGCTGCCCTCCACTGCAGCAGCAATTCGCGTCGCTCCCTACGATCCCGTCCCCTGCGGGGGGCGCTGTCCCCTCTAGTGCCCTCCACACGGGGGCCCCCACTGTCGCCCCATATTCGGGCTGGCTCCTGGGGCCCCCGGGTGTCAGATTCACCCTCAGGCCTACCCCCAACTTCATTCTCCGGGGCTCTTTCAGGAGGGCCCCTGTAGCCGTCGTCAGGGCTCCCCTCAACGGTGCTGTGGATGGAGCCCATGAGCACGTCTGCTTCTGCCTCTGTGGGGGGCAAGCTGTGCTGCCGCATCTGCGACGCCACTAACGTCTGCAGGCGTAGTAGGGCCTGTAGACGCGGGGGAGGTGGAGGGCCCCTAGAAGTCCCTGGGGGGCCCCCAGGGGCCGCGGAACTGTTGATGGCAAAGGCGCCATCGGAGCCTGCGGTACTGACGATTGCTGCAGCAGCAGCAGAAGCGGGAAAGGACTCATCTGCTGCTGAGCTGAAAGACCTATCAAGTAGATTCAGATAAGGGACCATTGACAAGCGGCTGCTGCGGCTGCGGCTGCCGCGGTTGCTGTGGCTGGCAGTTGTACACCTGGAGGTGTGGATGCCGTCAGCGCTAGGACTGTATCTGCTGCTGCTGCTGCAGCCACTGTTGTTGCTGCTGCTGCAGATAGAGCGACATACCGCACAAGATGCTGCAGATGTGCACCACTGCGTAGGAGACGCAGTATTCCTTTCTGGGAGCCCCAAGCCATTTAAGAGGGGGCCCCTTGGTGGCGGCAGAACCCGTTTTTGCAGCCACAAACAGCATGAGAGCCTATCCGCCAGCAGCCGTATGTGATGGCCCTGCGGGCGGAGAGGCATGGCTGCAGCAGCCGAAAGGCAATGAGGCCAGCAGCAGCTGCAGCAGCAGTGGCTCACGCAGTTGCCCGACGCGGCTCTCGTGGTTAACTCCGCTGATGGTCTTGTTGTAACCAGTGTTGCTGCTAACAGAGCAGCTGCAGTTGCTGCTGGGCTCCTTGGGGGGCCCGCTCTCCGGCGAAGGTCACTTGCAGGGCCTCAAAAAGCCTCCTGGGCGCGCGAGCCCCTGGAGCAGCGCTCGAGGGACTGTTCAGCTCTATGTTGAAAAGAAGCAGCACAAGATACGGAGGAGTTTAGTGTCATTTCCAAAGTTTGTCTGCGGCTAAAGGCTCAAGGGATAGGCCCACTGCAGGGGCCCCGGGCCCCACCAAGGGGCCTGTGCTGGTAGCTGCAGCAGCAGTCTCAGCAATAGTGCTGCTGCTCCTCGGTCACTAGTGCTTCTCTTTGTTTAAACTCACAAGGAAAAATTAGAATTTTGCAAGGTGCCTCATTACTTTGCTTCCGCCACCCCTATTTTTGCACACATTGCTGTAGACGGGCCTCCCATGCTGTCTTGGGGCCCCTCGTATTCCTTCTCTTTGTGCTTGATCTGGATGCGCTCATCGAAGAGTAAAACTAAGTAAGAGTCTAGCGAGCTCCTCAGCACATCAAGTTCGTCAGCGAGGGGGGGGTCCATACTGCCGAGCAGTTACGCTATGCACGGACACATATGGCTGCTGCTGGTGCTGCAGCTGCTGCTGCACACGCTAGCTAGCAGCCACGCTAGCAGCAGAAGCAGTAGTGTCGGGACTGGCAGCAAACATGGTTTGTTGTTCCTTAAGGGGGCCTCAACGATGCTGCAGGGCAGGGGCTTCCACCGAGTTTTCGAGACGCGAGTCCAGCTGGAGGTCGTTCCAAACGCTGGAGCAGCAGCAGCTGCTGCAGCAGACAGCAAGGGAGAAGCAGAGCAGTGCCTGCTCTGGCTTGAGTATCGTCTCCCGCAGCAAGTGTTTGCCGACCCAGACCAAACCCACGAGCTGGGGGCCCCACATAAATACAGAAGGGGCCCCCCACGATCCCCTGGCAGCCCCATCTTGCTGCGGCCCACCACCCTCTTCAAGCCCTCCTGCCCTGACAAGCCCTCCTCCGAGGCCACCTGCCACCACGGCCCCGTTCTGGTCAATGTGGAGCTGCCAAGCTATTCCCCCCTGCTCGGTGTGCCTCCAGTTGTGCGGCAGGAGGTATACGTACACTCCAAGATGCTGGACGCCTCCCCGGATACACGCGAGGTGTCCGTGCAGCTGCCAGTGCACCTCAGATACGGTCCGCCTTGCAGCGGCAGCTGCAGCAGGCTCCTGAAATCTTCTCTGGCCGCTCCCCTGGTCGGGCTGGAGTGCTCAGGGCGCCCGCAGCAGCAGTTAACTGCAGCAGCAACAGCAGGAGCAGCAGCGGGGGAGGGCCCCTTGGAATTCGCCGTTCCCGTCGGGCAAAGAGCCGACTGGGCCCTCACGGTCGCCACTAGTGGGGCCACGCTAGCGCTTGGGGTATATGCTGTTGTGTTCTCTTTGGCTAGCTAGCTGTGGACTCAAGCTAGGCGCAGTGGCGAGCTGCTCCGGGACAGCTAGCCAATGTGGGTTTGTCTTCATCTGTTTCTTCCGCTTCCCCCGTCTCACTGTAGCCACATTCTTAAATGCAATACCTATTGCCCAGAATTCTAGAAGGATTTATTACGTATTCCGTGTATGTGTACTTGCTGTGGCTACCTTTTAGTGTTTTGTTTTGCTCCTGCACCCGTCAGCTTCCGTGTGTCTGTCGCTGCCCTTTTCATTCCGTCTCAAAAGAACCTCCCGGAACCATCTACGGGCCGTTGGACTAAGGGTTGCAGAGCCTGCAGGCGGGGAGCTCCCTTACAGTGTTGCGCGCTTGACCGCTAGCTACCTTTTTATCTAGCTAGCTAGCTAGCTAGCTAGCCAAGTAGCTAGCGAACTAGGTACTTTTTCGAAATGTGAGTACCGGAGAAGGGATGAACCGAGGAATACACAGAGGTAGGACAAAATCAGAAATGGACAGAAGAGAAAACAACAGCAGCAGGCAGAGAGAATGAGAAACACAGAAAGGCACTAAAGCAAGGAGACATAGGGGCAATAGCGAGGAGCGAAAAGGATAGAGGCAAATTTGAGACGGGGGATGCAGCTGTGTAGCTACGTAAAAGATACGCAAAAGAATTCTAAGCTGCTGATCTTACACAGAAAAACTTGTTAGGTAGTGCAGAACGTTAGGCAGGCCAGTGGGCGGTGGCGCGCTAAGCACAACTTGACCTGCTGCTGCGCTGTATTGCATTTTAGTTCGCCACTGCTGCCGTATGCGGGGCCCTTGCTGCTGCCGGCGTGCTATGGGCTTCTTTTGATGGCTGTCCGCTGCAGCGGGCATACAGCACGAGCAGTAGCTACCGCTGCAGCTGCCGCTAATTGTTGAATCGACCGCGGACAGAGAATTTTCAAAGAAGTCCAGGGGGAGTTTATACTCTGCAGCAGCTTAACAACGACGGGCAAGGATCCGCACCTCACAATGAGGCCTCCAGCAGAGGCGGCAAAAGCATGCACTGTAACCACAAACAATGCAGCTGCAGCGCTGCACAAAGAAGAAGAAAAGGTCTAGCGGGTACAACACTGGCGATCAGCAGACCAGTGGCAGTTGCTAGCGTTGCTGCAGTTGTAGCAGCTGCTGCAGCTGCAGGAGCAGCTCCAGACTTTTCCGCACAGCAGTTTCCTGGGACTGAAGTGCCTTGATATTATCAAGGGGATATTCCACTGCAAAAAATTACTTTTATTTTAAAGGATTAAAAGTAAAATGGAAGACGTGAGGAAGGCAGCACGGAGATGAGTGAATTCGCCGCTGCAGCTGCCCGCAGAGTCACTCCGCAACGGGAACCGGCGCTGCGGCGGCTTGCAGCAACAGAAGCACCAGCAGCAGCATCTGCAGCAGCTCCTACAATTGCCAGTGTCTTCAGTGGAAGCGAGTTAAGAGAATATCTTGGGCTTTGTTTGGGGCCAAATACGGGGAGTATCGGGCCCAACCGATGCCCAGGACTTCACTTTGAGGCCCCATGACCAGCCCATGGACCTGACTCGGGTCCAGGCCCCGAAACAGCCCCCAAGGAGTCTTCTTGAGCTTTTTTCGGTTGTCCTTTTCAAGTTTTCAAGATACTCAGGGCTTTACCAACCTGCAGGGGCCCCAGAGCCGTGCAGCGCAGAGGTCGCAGGGCCCCGTTGACAACTGGCGCCCTTCTTTCCTGTCGAAGGCCCCAACGGGGACCGCCAGGGGGCCGCTGGACCCCCAGGGGCCCTTACCCACTCGGGGGCCCTTCTTGCAGCTGAAGATGGCCGACCAGGGCCTCCAGGGCTTCACACGAGCAATAGGGGCCCCTGGGGCCCCATGAGACACAAAGGGGCCTCAACACCTCCGGGGGACCCCCAAGGGGGCCCCCGTTGCTCCTTTTGTAAGTGGAGCAGCAGGGATGCAAGAGGTCACCCTCTGAGGGCTCAGGCGAAAGACAGACACTCCAGACAAAGCAGAGGTCACCTGCTGCTGGTGGCGCTTCTGGTGCTGCTGGCAATACTGATGTTGCGACCTGACAGTTGCAGAATTTGCGCTTGCCTACACCCTGTCAAAGCTATTAAGGCGGGAATTCCAGGCAGGTTCCGTCGAGGGAACCTCTGGCCACGGGTTAGACTACACTGCCGCCGCTACCGTGCTGCTGCTGTTGCTCTGGGTGATGCTGCTGCTGCTATAGTGTTGCTGATGACGCTTCCGTAACTGCTGTCATTGCTACTTAGTGGCATGCTGGGCCGTCAGGCTGGTTGAAAAAAGCTGGCCGTTGTTGTTCGCGGCATTGCCAGTACCGGGAACAGCAGCAGCACCAACAACAGCAGCAACAACAGCCGCAACAGCAGCATCATCAACACCAGCATGTTGAATGGGCTAAAAAAGCCAAAAGAAGAGGGCTAGAGGATATGGGGTTTCGTTGCACGCCTTGGGCTGCAGCTGCAGCCTGCTGAGGGTGCCACTGTTGCTATGCACTGCTGTTGCTGTTGCTGCTGCTGCTGCGGGTTCCTTTTAGGCCCCAGTATTTGTGGAGACGGGGGAAAGCGAAACGGCAGAAGAGGAAGAGGAAGAAGGCGACGAGGGCAAAGAGAAAGGGACGGAAAAAGAGGCAGATGAGGAAACCGAAAAAGGGGCCAAAGGAGATGAAAAGGGGGGGAAGGGGGGTCCAGAGGGTTCCAAAGAAACTGGCGAGGACGGAGAAGATGGCGAGGCAGCAGACACGGAAGACAGCAACGGGGGCAGTGCAAGCGGCATCAGCCACCAAAAGGACGACGACGCTGACGAAGAAGCAGAAGAGGAAGAGGGTGCAGAAGCAAAATCAGCAAAAGGAGCCTCGGAAGCCACAGAAGCGCGAGGCCGTCCAGAGCAAGAAGGCAAAGGTGATGGAGAAGATGCAGCAGGCAGCCACAAGCCAAACGATGCAGACCACGATGAGGTAGGCAGCAAGGACGGGGAAACAGAAGCAGAAGAACCCCATGAGGAAGGAGGCCACGGCGACAGTCAGAAGAGCCCGCACAAAGACAAAGACACAGGGGAGGCGCCAAATCCAGACAAAGATGAAGACGCGGACGGTGAAGAAGAGGCAAAGGCAGAAAAAGGCAAAGACGAAGAAGATGAAGGCAAAGGCAACGATAAAGATAGAGGCGAAGAGGACGGAAAGGGAAAAGATAAGGACGAGGACGAGGACAAGGACAAAGACAAGGACAAGGACAAGGAAAAGGACAAGGAAGAAGACAAAGACGGAGATGACAAAAAAGAGGAGAGAAACGAAGAAGAATCCCCTGGAGGTGACTCCAACAAGCCAGGTTCGCTTGCACGTGCTCATTCGTTTTGCTGTTGCTGCTGCTGACTCTTCTGCTGCTGCTGCTTCTTCCTGTGGCTGTCCAGCCTACAGCCGCTGCATCTGCATGCCGACTTTGGGGCTGATTGGGCTACCGCTGCTCTTGTTGGCTCACGGAAGGTGAAAGTCAGTAGTGCTTTGATGAACAAATAAATTTGTGCAGTCGCATATTTCCGTCTCTTATGTTGTCACAACTGCTGCTGGTGCTGCTGGTGCTGCTGGTGCTGCTGGTGCTGCTGATGCAGTTCGGTTTTTAATGCGCAAAGGTACAGGACACCCCGTGGGTTGGGTTTCGAGCTGGTTGGCTGCTGGCTTTGCAGAGAAGCCTGAGGACGATGAAGATGACCCACTAGGCCCTGGTGGGGACACGCCAGAGGAAAAAGAAGAGGCAAGGAGAAAAGAGAGAGAGCAGCTAGCCAAAGAATGCCAGCCTGACAAGTAACTCACAACGACTCATGCTGCTGCTCTCGTTCATGGTGTTTCTGCTGCTCAAGGGGGGCACCTGCTGGTGTGGTGTCGCGTACCTGTGGTAGCTGCTGCTGCTGCTCAAAGTCGGTAGACGTTCTGCGTGCTGGCATGCAACTGATGATGCGGGCGCTGCCGTTGTTACAGGGAGAAGCAGGATAAAGAAATGCAGAAACAAGCGGCGGAGGCTACTCACGGGGGGGCAACGGAACACGCCGCACCAAGCTCTCCCTCGTCAACGGCAGCAGCAGCTGGAGCAGCAGGAGCAGCAGCAGCTGCAGCTGCAGCAGCAGGCAAAACCGAGAAGGCCAAGCATGCATCCCCAGTCCCCAACAGCAAGGAAGTGGAGAGCGACAGTTTACCTCCAGAGCTATTACAGAAGGTGCAACAGACCGCGGGAAGCCGCACTGCTGATGAGCAGCAAAAGCTGCTACGTGCTCTGCACATTGCCCATGCAGCAGCTCTGAAGCTGAAAAGCATGGGCAAAGAGCCAACTCCGGAGAATCTAGTAGAGGCGGGAGTCTCCTTAAAGACCCAAAAGATGATAGCTGACGCCCTGGCGGCGGGTCAAAAGCAGCCTCAACAGCAACAGCCAGGACAGCCACCAGCAACAGCGGGGGCCACGCCCTCTCAACAGCTGCCGCAGCAGCAACAGCAGCAACAGCAGCAACAGCAGCAACAGCAGCAGCAGCCACTAGTGCGCATCGGGTCCCTTGAATTGCAGACAGGTCACCTGTTGACCAACCCTCCTGGACTTCTGGCGCCCATCAATCCTGTGGCAGCAGTCCCAGGGTCCCCAGGGGCCCCGGGTGGCCCTAATGCAGCTCCTGGGGTCCTTGCTCTTCCGCATCCTGTGCTGAAAGGGGATGCTGGGGAGCCGTTGTACCAGCGGCTGGTTGAGAACACTCCCTTGATGTCTGAGGCGGAGCGCAAAGACCTGTGGGAAGAGATCAAAGTAGTGCGCCATGTGGCTAGAAAATTGGTGGAGAGGGGCCTGCCGCCCAGTGAGGAGAACCTGGAGAGGGCGGGGGTAACTAAGGCGAAGCAGAAGCGGCTGGCCTGGTTTTTGGGTCTCCCATTCGAGAACGAAGAGGATAAGCAGAAGCAGCGATGGGCCTTCAGCGGCAAACACAAATTCGTGCTTTGGGGGGTTCTGTGCTGCCTAGTAGTAGCAGCAGCAGCCTCTGTGTACTGGTTCAGGAAGAAAGTGAGGAGGAGTTTGAAGCGCATGCGGCACCTTTACAAAGACGCCTATTTGCACCGGCTGCAGCGAGAAGCCGAGCACATCAGGCGACACAGGGAGCAGCGGCATCTGCATCGAGAGGCCACGGACACCACCGGGAGAGGCGACAGCCTGAAAGTGCTAAAGCTTAGGACAGGCCTCACTTCTCTGAACTCCCAGCAAACCGGCGAGCCCGGTGTGAGACTGCAATCGACGCAAACCAACTCTAAGAAACACCTCAGGGGATTCACACTCAACGGACACCTTTTGAACAATACTGAAAGCCTAGAAGAGCGTCCCAGCGCCGCTCCAAGCAGGGGCCGTACTTCCACTCGGCAGGGGGAGACTGTCAGAGAGGGGCTTGACACGGCGGAGCCCACGAACAGGGACCGCCAAAGAGTTCCTTCGGTGACGTCAGCTCAGCTCTCCATGCAGGTCAGGATGGACACAACAGAAACAAGGACCATGTCGGGAGAACGGAGCGAGGCCCAGAGGCCCTTGATCGGAAGGAGTAGCAGGCACCAGTTTCAGGACCGCCAATAGGGCATCATTGGTACCCTTGACGGCTTCTCGAAGGAACTCGGCTCGTGGCATTTGCTGGTGGGACAGCGCAAGCTAAGAAGAAGCCCTAGCGAAGACATTACTATCGTTCCACTGACCGTGTAGCCGCTTCTTCGCCCGCAGCAGCGGCCACTGCAACGGCAGTAGCAGCAGCAGCAGTAGTAGCAGCCATTGGAGATACCCGAGCTGAATGGGCTAAAGGCTAACCTACGCCCTGAAGAGGAGAAGAGGAAGACAGAGCTTCTTTTCTGCTACCTCTGTGCGGCGCGCATCACCTTCTGTGTGTTTTGATATATGTCAATGTTCTGTTTGACATAAGTTAACGAACGCGAATCCTTTCCTAGCTTTCAGCCTAAATAGCCAGCTAGGCAACAGCGAAGCAACTAGCTAGCCAGCTTAAATAATCAAAATGCCAGTCAAACGACTTGACCATTAACCGTCTAACGCGGAGAATAAATAGCCAGTGTCACCGCTGGCAACTCGTGGTCTCAAGGAAGCGAACTGCATCGGGAAGAACAGAGAAGGCATCCTGATGAAAGGCAAAATGCCAGGGCTTCCAGCAAACTGGAGCAAATTGATATTTTATTGGTGGGAGGCGGTTATATGATCAGTCTGTGTGCAGAGGCAGCCATTGAAACGTGACTTCAGTGAGTTCTGCTGTAATCTCTAGGCTTTCTTATCTGTCCATGGACCTTCTGCGTGCCTAACCGCGCAAGAATCGCTCAGACTCACAAGGTATACCTGCTAAGCTAGCTGTACACCCCACTGCTGCATACGAGCTCACACTAGACCCCGTAGCCTTGCATCTACTAGTGTATCGCCACGCGAATGGAACTGCATGCGTTATTCAGCAAGGATGAAACTTAGGCCTCCACTGGTGGTTCACGCTGCACTCAGAGAAGCCAGTCACTGTGCATCAATCTGGCCTGCTGGCAGGGCCCACAGCACTGCTGCGGCCATGCACACACTATCGACGAGTTAACCCAAAGTCTGTTCTACCGACAAACATGTGCAAAAGGAAGGAGGCAAGGGGCTGTGGAGGAGGCGCGCTGTAGCGGTGTTGCAACATATGCAATATGGCTGTTCTGTACTCGTGAGGTCCTCAAGGTACTGTGTGTGCAGCACCTTGAAAACGAAGCAGCCAGCGAGCGCTACATGCAGAAAATTTCCATTGCACGAGACCACCTTTAGAACATCTGAGAACAGCAGCACATACAGCCTAAAACCATGGCCTTGAGTACCGTGGCTCGTTTGAGTCTCATGGCCTTGAGTACCGTGGCTCGTTTGAGTCCACAGTTTAGGCTTTATCAGCAGCACATACAAACTGAGCTAGCGAGGCTGGGTAAATTTGTGTTGAGGAAATTCCAGCATATTTCTTGTGTTGCGCAGAGTTTGTGTAGACAGGGCAAACGGGGGATAGAATCTCCATGTGAGTGAAATACATTGCATTAAAGTACAAACTTGGCTTGCGAACAAGATAACAGACTTAGTGGGAACAGGACTTTGGTTGGGGTGTCCGTATTGTCACCACAGAGCCCAATAACCGGAGCCGCTTTTACAAGCACCTGAAATGCAGCAGCAACCTAAAACGTAGTCCACACTTGTCGCTCATTTATTTGCAATCATTTGACTACATTCTGAGCCACCTACAAAGGAAGCAAACCCTTAGCAAAGGTCGCACCATAGATCAACACACGGGGGCCCTTGGGGGCCCCAAGGGGCCCCTCATGGGCCCCCAACAGCTAGACTATCGGGGAGCATCCTTTTGTGATGGGGTATTATTTTGCTGCTGTGTTTGTTGCGTTTATCTATTTTATTGTCGCTGTGCAGCTTCCTTCGTGGAATCTGCAATTGTATCGTATTTCCGCAGTGTCTCTTGGCCCATAGGGTCTTCTGCAGTAACTTGTGGCGAGTAGGCAGCTCTGTAGATTCTTTTGAGAGGCCCGAGAAACGCAGGTCTGCCGAAGAACACAAGGGACTGTGCAGTGCATTTACACCCGTGCAGTGTATGTACACCAGGGGGACAGCCTTTGCTGCTCTCCCCGCGTCGGAGCTCGTCTCTCCCTCGGTCCTGAGGACAACTGGACCGCCCGCATTTCATATGCTTCTTGGCTTTATCTGCTTTTTGATCTGCCATTGGCTGTGTCTCTGCCCTCCTCTAGCCCTGGGTGCCTCTACTCCTGCCCCTGCTCGCGGCTGTGCCTCAAATTTCTCTGTTCACATTTCCGGTGCCCAGCTCAATGACAGAGCGAGTTCACTACAATCTGCGAGGCCCTCCCTGGTTAGTGGCCCCCCGAGTCTCATTAGGAGCGCCTGTGACTTGCAGCAATGCATCTATTGCACCGCATAAAAGGCGAAAGCGCCACCACCAGCAGCAACAACTGCAGCAGCGGCAGCAGCAGCAGCAACAGTGGCTGCTTCGAAAGGTGACGTCTGCTACAGGCTCCTCTGAGCTTACTGGGCGGCACTGCCCGTATAGCCTGAGGGGATCTAGACTTTGTCACTGCAGTTCTCGGCGTCTCGGGAAGACAGAGGACAAGCCGCCCGGTGGTGCTGCTGCTGCCGCTGCGCGCAACAGCAGCAGCAGCAGTACCAGCAGCAACAGCTTACGCAGCAGGAGCGACAACATCACAATCAGCAGCAGAAGCAGCAGCAGGAGCCAGAGAGGTAGCAGCAACAGTAGCAGTAGTAGTAGTAGCAGCGCCAGCAAGAGCAGCAGCAGCAGGCGGAGCCACGCGAATACCGCAAACAGCAGCAGCGGGAGCAACAGCGTCGACAGCACGAAACACTGCAGCACTGCCGTCATCCGTAGGGCCAACAGCAACAACAGCAGCAACGGCAGCAGCACCAGCAGCCGCAGTGCTTCTCCGACCTGTCCCTTGTGCAGAGGCTGCAGCATATTTCGTCATGGCTCACGTCTAGAGAGACGCGAGGCGCTGCTGCAGCTGCACGGTCTGGGAGCCTCGGGAGCCCCTGGCAGCCTTTCCGCAGCTCCTGCGGCTGCAGATGCCATGGGGGATAGCGCGCATGCCCTTTACAAGCAGAAGCAGCAGCATCGCGTGGCCTGCAGCAGCAGCACTAGCAGCCCACTAAAGCAGCTGCCGCAGCAGCAGCGAGCGTCAGAACAACGGCGTGAGATCGAGGCTCTGAGGCGCTGCCTGCTGAGCGGACTTATGCGCAAAGAGAGACAGCGCTACCGGTGCCCCTTTTGCTGCTGGCAAGAGAACGAAGCAGCAACAGCGGCGGCCGCTGCAGCTGCTAGCGGCGGCAGCACCTGCAGCAGCAGCAGCTGTTGCTTCGTTCCACGCAGAGGCATGGAAAGCCAGGCCTTGAAAGTGCAGCAGCAGTTGCAGCAGCTGCAAGTAATTGATCTGGAAAGCCTCGATGCGGAACAGCAGCAGCTGTTCTTTTTAAAGAAGGAGCCCTCTCCGCGCAGCAGCAGCAGCAGCAGCAAAAGCGGCAGCAGCACCTTCGACAGCAGCGGGACAGAAGCCCTACGTGTTGTTTGTGAAGGCTTTGACTGTCGCTCTCTCAGCAGCGAGGCCAAATGGGTGGTGGCAGAGCTGGTGAAGGACGGCTGCTTTATCAACACGGCCCTGCAGGCAGTTGCTGCAGTGCAGCAGCAGCAGCAGCAGCAGCCTACGGAACAAATGCAGGGACGAAGTCAAGGAAGGGAGGACTCGCGGCGCCAGCAGGAGCTGGCTGCGGCGAGAAATGCGTTCGCTGCTGCATGCGCAGCAGCAGCAGCAGACATGGAGGCGGAGGCTGTGAGCCAGCAGCTGCTGGATTTGGGGGCACTGCGGGCGCGGGAAGAAGCAGACAGCAGGAGAGACAGAGAGGCTCAGCAGCAGCAGCAGCAGCTCTTCAGCAGCGCACAGCCTCTCTGGGAGCAGCACGGCTGCCTCTGCTCGTTTCTCGAAGCCGCGAACCCGCCTTTATTTGAAGCCCTCACTAACAGCAGCAGCAGAAGGAACGGCAGCAGCAACAAAAAATGCAGAGATGCAGCAGCGGCCCAGGGCCGCGTGCTGCTGCAGCGGCTTTTCGATCTGCAGCAACAGCTTCTGCGGAACTACAGCTCTGCTGCGCCCCCTTTCATTTGCGGGGCTGATGAGGAGGCCTGGCGCCTTCTGAGGGCCTTACGGTCTGATGCCTGTGACAGAAAACTGTTAAACATTCACGACTGTCTTCTTTTGGCCTCGGCGGCCGCAGCTGCTGCAGCTGCGGCTGCAACAGCAGGCGGCCCCGCGGCGGCTGCAGCAGCTGCTGCACCAGCGGCACGCGGCAGGCGCGCGCGCACCAAGGCTCTGCCGCTGCTGCAGCACAGAGACCTGGAGGGGTCTCGAGATCCCCAGGGGCCTCAAGAAAGCCTTGAGCTCCAGGGGGACTGGGAGCAGCAGCAGTGGCCCCTGAGCCAGCAGCAGCAGGAGGCGCTGCTGCTGCTGCGGCAGCAGGCGTCAGTGCTGTCGGCTGCTGAGCTGCAGGTTGCTCTAGCTAAGGCGTACTTTGAAAACCAAGAGAAGGTGAGATTGCTGCTGCTGCCTCTGTTGCTGGTGGCTGCGCTGCCGCTCTACTTCAGCTGCAGCTTCTGACGCATGCTGCCGAATTGCTCTTTTTTCTTTAACGGCGCCTCCTAAATGCGCAATTCTTTGTCCTTCTCCATATATGTCTCTGTGCCCGTGTCTCGCGGTTTGCTTGCTTTTGCGTGTGTGCGTCTCTCGAGCTGTCCCCACCACATTCGCTTCTGGCCTTATCGCCTCTGGCACCGTCTGCCCTTCTACCCTCAAGGGCAAAAAAAGCAGCAGCTGCAGCAGCAACGACAGCAACAGCAGCAGGAGCAGCTAGGGAGCCAGTGGGTGTTTTGTGCTGATCGTTGTTCAGGCCTTGGTCGAGTCCGCTTTCTTTTCTAATTTGGGGTCCCTTGCAGCGCCATCGTTACTGCTGCAGCAGCGGCAGGAGCTCCTGTTGCTGCTGGGCTGGTGGTTGCGCCTAAGTGCCTTTCTCTCCAGCACGGCAGCGCAGCTGCAGCAGCTACTGCTGCTGCAGCAGGACACATTTGAAAACTCCCGCCGCCAAGTGAAGCAGCAAGTGGGCGCTTCAGTCTCACCTGGCCAGCGGTGTGAATCGCAGCAGCAGCAGGTGGTCTCACTTGCTGATTTGATGCTGCGCCCACACCCAACGCGCGGGTCTTCTTTCGTACAGTTGCTGCTGCTGCATCCCAGGGACAGCACTGCTGCTGCGGCAGTGGCAGCTGCAGCAGAGGAGGCAGGGGCGCAGCTGGAATCTTCGCCGCAGTCTCAGCAGCACACCGATAAAGCAACTGCAACAGCAGCAGCGCCTGCAGTAGCGGCAGCAATGGGAGCTGAAGAAATCGCAAGCGATGTGAAGGGGACCTCAAGGAACAGTGAGAACAGAAGCAACAGCAGCAGCAGCACTACGCCGAGAAAAATGCAAATGAAGGAGGTCATCGACCTTTGTAGCAGCAGCAGCATCAGCCCTAGTAGCTGCAGCCGTAGCAGCTGTGACGAGGTTCAGATCGACCAGTGCGTCTCTCGGCCTCTTCGGCCGCGCAGCACAGAGGAAACCTCGAAGCACCTGCACGCTGCCTCTCGCCGTCGTCTCCGCAGCAGCAACAGCAGCGACATTAAGAGCAGCAACTACAGGAGTAGTGGCAGTGCCAGCAGGAGCAGATTGGAAGCTTTTGCGTGGTGCTTCCCTTGTTCGACAGCTGAACATTTGGCTGCTCGCCTCCTCAGTGTTTCCTCCGACCCTTTCTTATTTTCGTCCCTGGACTGCTGTTGCTGTTGGGACGTCCGCCTGCCGGAGCACCCAGGACTGCGGGGCCTCCGCGCGGCCTGCAAGGCCCTTCTTCCCTGGCAGCTGCAGCAGCAGCCGCAGCAGCAGCAGGAGCTATGTGCCTACGAGGTGTTGTCCCGCCTCTGGCGGCTTACTGCCGACCCGCTGGCTGGGCAGAGCTGTTCGCCTAGGGTGCGGCAGCAAGAGGAGCAAGTAGAGGCGTCGGGGTCACCTGGGGGCTCTCAAGGGGCCTCTGAGGAAAGTGGCTGTTGGACTGTGGGGGTAAGGCCTGCTCGTAGCTGCTAGGCACTCGCGGCAATACCCTCGAGGCTAGCCGCGATTGTTTTTTTTGCTGCAGTCGTTTGTGTCTGCCGCTTCAGGAGCTCCCGGCCCTCGTTGCTGCGGGCCTGTGGCTACCAGCGCTAGCGTTTGTGGGGCCCAAACAGCAGCAGCAGCAGCAGCAGCAGAAACCAGAGCAGCAGCAGCGACTTAGAGACCGCACACTGTGGGGAAGGCGGCAGCTGGTGCATCTTGCCTCCCAGCTGCTGCCCCAGACCTCGAGTGCCGCTAGCAGCGCTCATGCTTCACCCGACAAACACCCGTACAGCAGCAACGGCAGTAACAGCAGCAGTAGTTGCCCCAGCAGCAAAAGCACCAGCAGCGAGTCAGGTGAGAGTTTGTTTGTTTACCGGTGGCTCCGTGGCGCCATCAAGGCGGTGGAAGAGGCCACCGAAATCGCGTTTTTGTCGGAAGCCCCAAATGATGCCAATGAGGAACTCGTAATAGCATAAGAGACCAAACGCGCGTGCAAACAAGCATACGTGCAACCGAGCAAAATGCATGCAGACTTGACTGTGAAAGCAAAAGAGCCGAACACCAAAAGCAGCAGATCATGCAGCAGTAAGCCGCATCTACGCGGCAGCGAGCAGCGACCATGGCACTTTATGTGTGTCTCAGCTCCCCAAACGTAGGGAGGCGCTGTTGCGCATGCCCAGGTGTAGGCCATTAGAGACCGCGGGGCTACTTGTATGTGGAGCCCCAGCGGCCTTGGCCTCCCTTGTTGCCTCGACGCTTTCGAGGCCCTGGCCTGCTCCCAGGCCCCTTTTTGGCCTCCTACGGGGGCCTTTCGGGTGTGCTTCGGCCCCCAGTGGGACCCTGTGCGCCCTACCTTCGCAGCGAGTGGTAGTGGGTAGTTTGTGCCTGGCGGCGCCACATTGTTTGCCAAATAACTGCCTCGACGAGAAGTCGAACTTCGTTCAATAACGAACTCCGTTTCTCTCTTTGCCGTCTCTTTCGGCTTTTGCCTCTCCGTCAATTTTCGACGCACTGTTTATTTCCTCCTCAACGCCCGCTTGCAGCCTCCCTTGTTTCTCATCGCACAGATCCAATTTTAGTTTTTTTCAGCCTCTACTGTTCTATTCTATACCAGCTGGTCTGCGCCCATTGCCTATTTTTGCTGCATCCTGTTCCTCCAACTTATTTGCTTCGTCCGCCCCTCCCCGTTGTTACCTTTGTTCTCCCGTTGCCTTTTTGGACATCTTCTACCTTTCTTACTGCATACTAGTTCCGCATTCTACAACTGACTAAAATGAATTGGCACTCTGTCTCGCGGCCCGCTCCTGTCTTTTTCACTCTGTGCAATTTGCCGTGCCTCTGTTTCTGCGCCTGTGCGTCAAGGATAAATCTAAAGAGCATTGTCGTATAGCAAAAAAATGGCCACGACGGCCCGCGGGGACTGATTATAAGCCCCAACACAGTCTCACTTCCCTTACCTCTGTCCACTTCTGTGTTGTTTTATTTGCTTGTTTCTCGTGCTGCATCTGTGCTGGTGCAGCAGCTGCGCTGCTCCAACACCTACGCCGCTACTGCAGCTACGCTGCTGCTGTGGCTATGCTGCTGCTGCAGCAGTGCCGCCGATGCAGCTGTGATGCTGCTGCTGCATCTGTGCAGCCGCTGCAGCTGTGATGCTGCTGCTGCATCTGTGCAGCCGCTGCAGCAGTGCTGCTAATGCCGCTATGCTGCCGCTGCTGTAGCCACACAGCTGCTGTTGCAGGCTTGTTCCCCGTTCGCCTTGTATGTTGTTATCCCTCGGCCGGCGTCTCCTAGCGTTGGAAGAGACGATTGCACTTTATGCACTGGTGTCTTGTCTTGTAATTGAGGGCCCCACACTTCCAGCAGCTCCAGTAGAGGTGGGGGTGAGTCTTGGGGGTCACCCGGGTGCCCCTGTCCCCCTGCGAGCCCCCACTGACGCTCAGCATGGCCCCCCCAGGGCCTCCCGCAGCCGTTGCTGCTGCTGCCGCTGCCGAAACAGCAGCAGCAGCAGCAGCAGGCATGGATTCCCCCTCCGGTACAAATGTATAGTTGCCACAAGATAGCCCAAACGCCTTCCTGTAGTTCTGTAAGTCAAACATGGAGCCCTGCAGACTGTGAGGGGCCCCCAGAGGGACCCCACTACCGCTGCCTGCCTCAGAAGTAAACGTCCTGCTAGCTTTGTCAAATATGACGATCTTGTCGTCTGACTGGGAGTCGCCTGTCGCTGCCACTGCTGCCGCCCTTGGAGCAGCTGCTGCAGCAGCACCAACCGGAGCGGCGGCGCTCTGATCCGAAGAAGTCGATATGTGTTTCCCCTTTTTCTTATTTTTACTTTTGTGTTTTTTCTTGCCTTTCTTTTTGCTTCTCCTGTGGCCGTCACTTGAGGACGAGTCACTTGAACTAGGGGACAAAGAGCGGGATCGGCTGCGTCTCTTCTTCCTCTTCTTCTTCTTCCTCTCAGTGGACGAGTCGGACGAACTGTCTGAGGAAGCTTCCCTTGGAAGCCTTTCTAGGGCCTCGAGCAAAGGGGGCCCCAAAGGGCGTGGCATTGGTGTGTACTCAGGGGACCCACGGCGGATGTGGATGGGCGAGCCATCCTCTCCAAAGTTCTGCAGGGCCTCCCGGGGGCCCCTCCATCCTTTCCGTCGTCGGACCATTGGTCAACACCCGTGGATGATACGGGGCACCGGAGGGAGGCCCAGAGACTACGCAGATATATGGGGGTCCGCAGGGGACCCCCGGGGGTCCCTCAGAATGACTGGGACAGAGGATCCCCCAACACGCTAAGCCCAGACGATGAGCAGGCCAAGCAGCCTAATGCCTGGGAGACAAAGATGGAAAAGACCTGTTAGGTAAACTTGCTGCAGAGGACGAACCAAAAAAGCAAAATGGGTCCCCTGTGTACGGATGCCGTCGCGGGCCTCGTTCGACCAGAACCATTCGCCCGTGTCGAGCTGCTTGCAAATTCGCCAAACACACAAAATACAAAGAAATACGGCAAATATAGGAGCGAAGGCCCCCAGAGTCTTGCAGGGGCCCCCTGACGGCCAAGCGGCCGGGCACACGATCACGGGCGTTCAGTACATACTTCTTGCCCTCAGTACGTGAATGAAACAAAAGATGAGGCTGAACACGCTTCTGTCAAAAAAAAATAACGAAAGGGAAGGAACAAGCAGCGGAACGTCTTACTTCGGTGCGGTCTGTGGGGCTGCTGGGCAGCTACGCTTGGGTCTGCCGGGAGTGGGGAGGGTCTGCCGTGAGGTCTTTTTCTCAGTATCTCGATTCATTCTCGCCGTGAAAAACATGAGAAACAGAATAAAATTGTTTTATCGCTATATGTAAGCTGGAAAGCGCTTAAATAGAGTGGCGAAAGTCTCAGAAGCTGTGAGACCCTGCGTGCTCTCCACGCTGCGTGCAACGGAGCCTAGCGTAACCAAAAGGGGTAGCGTGTTGTCGGGAATTCCGACTTTTCTTGGTTTTCTGCATTTCTATTCAGTTGCTTCCAGTTTACTCAATTATATTTCGTGGTGTTTCCTCCGAAAATGCGGGGAGCAGTGGCACTCTCTGCCGCCAGGGCGCTGTGGGCGCGCAGCCGTGCCCCCGCAGGCCTCGTGGGCCCCCTAAGGAACAACGCGGTCTTTTCAGCTGTACGTACAGCGGCGGTTGGCACTCTGTCTTCGTTAGCAGGGTGAGAAATCTTCGCCGATCTACCAGAGGCGGGGGCCTCGAAGAGCCGCAGCGGGCCCCATACACTCGACCTTGTTGCAGCACCAGCATCCGGTGGCTGTAGCTTTCACTATCGCAGGAATTTCAAGCATGCGCTGATTAAATATTCATGGCCAGGGGGTTGGTTAGCCTTGCCCACTTGTGCATCCGCGGCGTCGCGCAGCTGTTGTTGGTCGCGATGCCGCGTCTCTGCTTTTCTGGCGCCTCCTGCCGGCCGTTTTGGCGTGTGTTGTTTCGTTTTGGCGTGTGTTGTTTCTGTATTGCTGTGATTATGCTTGAGGCCCTGAGTCTGGTGATGCAGCGCGGAGGTGCATCTGTGTACCCAGTGTGTGCTCTAGTCAGTGTGCCGCTGTGTTTGTGTGTATGGCGGTTTGCCTTCCTGCTGCCCTCGCTGCTGCTGAGTGTGCTGCTCTGGATCTTTCCTGACTTCAAACTGCTCTCACGGCGCTGCGCTGCGATCCGCACCGTAGCCCGAGTGCAGGAGTACTCTCGAGATGCCTCTCTCCAGTGCCGAAATAATTTGCACATTCCCTTGAACGGGCCAGCAGATTGGTAGCAGTGGGATTATATGCTGGATTTTCATTCCGTTGTGTTCTTCGCAGCCGGCGTGGCTTTAGCGGCGTACGGGGGGATGTTGTGGGTATCGATTTGGGCACAACAAACAGCTGCGTGGCCGTGATGGAGGGCTCTCAGCCGAAGGTGCTGGAGAACTCCGAAGGCATGAGGACAACTCCGTCGGTGGTGGCCTTCACAAAGGACGGCCAGAGGCTGGTGGGTGTGGTGGCGAAGCGGCAAGCCATCACCAATCCTGAAAATACCTTCTTCAGCACTAAGAGGCTCATCGGGAGGTCTTTTGACGAGGAGGCGATCGCAAAAGAGAGAAAGATTCTTCCCTATAAAGTCATCAGGGCAGACAATGGCGACGCGTGGGTTGAAGGCTGGGGCAAGAAGTATTCCCCCTCACAGGTGGGGCAACATGCTGTAGTGCTTAGGGTGTAGGGTGTGGGACTAGAGGGTAGGGTTTCGGGTTGGGGGACAGGGCTTGGAGCATACGAGTTGGAGAGTGGGCAAGAGCTGCGCAGTTAGGAGTGCAGTGGCAAGAGTCTTTGTTTCTGCTGCAGTTTCGCTGAGCTTGTGTTTGTGTGCTCTCTTTGCATCTCCATTGCTGCTGCTGTTTATCTTGCTGCGTTTTCTCCAGATCGGCGCCTTTGTGCTGATGAAGATGAAGGAGACTGCTGAGTCCTATTTGGGGCGCGATGTGAACCAAGCAGTTATCACAGTTCCAGCGTACTTCAACGACTCACAGAGACAGGCGACAAAAGACGCTGGGAAGATCGGTTCGTCTGCTGCAACGGGGACTTCCTTCAGCTGTTTCTAGTTGTCTTTTGTCTACTTTGTTCATGCATTTGGCAGTCTCGGAGACGGGTTTGCCGTTTGTTGTTCCTTTTTTTGGAACGCGATTGTGGTCCGCACGTGACTACCAGTGGCTGTGTTCTGGGCTTCACGTTTAGCCTCTTGCAGCCCAGTTCTTTTCTATTTGGAGTATGTGTGCTGTCTTTTTTTTCGTTTTCTTCTGCATCACTTTGCCAGTTTTGGCTTTGTTTGTGCCTTTGTGGTGCTTCCTGCGGCTGTGTCTGTTACCCCTACGCCCTGCTGTTTCTGCCTCGTTCAACCCCTCGCTTCTGTGTATGTATTGGGCCTCAGCGGGTTTGGACGTCCTCCGCATAATTAACGAGCCCACTGCGGCCGCCCTGGCGTACGGTATGGAGAAAGAAGACGGACGCACCATAGCTGTCTATGACTTAGGTGGCGGAACTTTCGACGTTTCAATCTTGGAGATATTGGGAGGAGTGTTTGAGGTGAAGGCGACCAATGGCAACACCAGCTTGGGAGGGGAGGATTTCGACCAGAAGGTGCTGCAGTTCCTGGTGAATGAGTTTAAGAAGAAAGAGGGCATTGATCTTAGCAAGGACCGGCTGGCTCTGCAGAGGCTACGCGAGGCTGCGGAAACGGCCAAAATCGAGCTGTCTTCGAAGCTTTCAACTGAGATCAACCTCCCCTTCATCACCGCCGACCAATCCGGTCCCAAACATCTGCAGGTCTCCCTCTCTCGTGCCCATCTCGAGGAGCTGGTTGGTGCACTGCTGCAACAAAGCATTGAGCCCTGCGAGAAATGCATAAGGGACGCAGGGGTGCAGAAGGCTGACCTGAGTGACGTCATTCTGGTGGGGGGGATGACCCGCATGCCCAAGGTTGCTGAGGTGGTGAAGAACATTTTCCACAAGGAGCCCTCTAAGGGCGTCAACCCGGATGAGGCTGTGGCGGCCGGCGCCGCAATACAGGCGGGAGTCCTAAAGGGCGAGATCAAGGACCTGCTGCTGCTCGATGTTTGCCCACTTTCTCTCGGCATTGAGACGCTTGGAGGCGTCTTCACGAGACTCATAAACCGCAACACCACCATTCCCACCAAAAAGAGCCAGATCTTCTCTACTGCCGCGGACAACCAAACGCAAGTTAGTAATTTAATGTGGTGCTGCTGCTTTTGATTTTGTGGTGGGGCTTGCCGTTGTTGACGAACTTTTCGCTGTTGGTGATGTTGGTTGCTACGGCGGCGCCTTCGTTCTTGCCTTTTGCTGTGCCATTGTGGTTGTTTGTACCTTACTTGCTCTGCTGCAGCTTCTAGTTGTTACTGCTGCTGTTGCGCATAATTGTGCTGCAAGCACTCTGGTTTCTGCTATATCTTCGTCAGCTGCTTACAGTGCATAGCAGTGCCTGCTGTTGCCAGCGCTTATCCCGCTGTTGCTGCAGTATGTATTCGTTGTACTGATATTGCTCTTGCCACAGGTGGGCATCAAGGTGTATCAGGGCGAGCGTGAAATGGCCTCTGCCAACAAACTGCTCGGTCAGTTTGATTTAGTGGGAATTCCCCCAGCTCCTCGCGGTGTCCCCCAGATTGAGGTTACCTTCGACGTGGACGCAAACGGCATTATGAACATCAGTGCAGTAGACAAATCAACAGGCAAGCGGCAGCAGATTACGATTCAGAGTAGTGGAGGACTCAGCGAGGCACAGATTAAGCAGATGGTGGAAGACGCGGAGAGGTTCAAAGACGAAGATCAGAGGCAGAAGGACTTAGTTGCCGCGAAGAATGAAGCGGAGACTCTCGTCTACTCAGTGGAGAAGCAGATCAGTGACCTGAAAGTGCGCACACGAGCTGTCACTGCAGAAATGAGGCGTCACCCACGGACGCAGGAACTGAATACGGATACCAATATAGACGAACATGGGACGAAACACACTAGTGCCACGGGGAGCCCAAGCAGAGAAGGAAGAACAATTTGCATTCTGCTCCTGGGTTTTGCTCCCATTGTTTTGCCACCTGGTTTTGTTTATTGGCAATGTCTGTGCCACGCCTTTTCGTGTGTTAATTTTTGCCTGACCTGTTTGCGTCCTTGACAGTTTATCGTGTAGACGGTGAACTGTTCCTTCCCATTATTCTCAGTCATATGCTTGGAAAGCTTAGCTTCGTTTCAGTGTATTCTCCCCGCACCGTCTGTTGAATGTGCTGACAGGACAAAATATCTGCTGAGGACAAAACCGATCTAGAGAGTCGCATTCAGGAGTTGCGCTCCGCCCTGGTCGAGGGCGAGCTGGAGACAATTCGTTCTCGCGTAAAGGCTCTACAGGAACTCTCGTGGAAAGTCTCACAGCAAGCCTACAGCCAGGTATCACGCCTCTCCGGCAATGGCTCCGTTCTAAGCTGTTGCTCATAGTCTAGGCTTATTGCTTTCCGTGCACTAAAGCATGCGCATTGACGAATGTATACAGGTTTTTAGAGAACCGGCAGGTATTTTGTTGGTCTCAGCGAATGGGTGTGGAATGCAGAGCCACCGCTGTAGCATCAGTTGCTGCAGCGCTCCAACTACTTTTG